AAAAAAATGTGGGAGTCTACCCCGTATCTCTAGTCTGAGCTCCCGTACTGTTTCTCACGCTTACTAGCAAAAGTAAAAATACGCTGTTTATTAAAAATCAAAGTCTGTTCACAGTAGTACCAGTATTGTATATTTTGTATATTTCATACACTATTTCGTCATGAATCTACGTCTACCATTATCGTAGCATTTTATTCAGGCAGTACGCGTGGGAAAATACGGTCACAGACCCTCATGCGTTTATTTTGCACGCCACTGTACATAAGTACTAGCCTCCCTGTAGATGGTATCTCGTAAATAGCTCTGGCATGTCCATCCAGATATCCGTGACGGGCCCACATAGGCTTTGGGTGTTGGTGTGCTGCCGTCTACCTTGAAGCAAGAGAGCACCGTACATGGAATCCTCGGCCGATACTCTCGGCTTGCACTCTACATTCGACAGTACGAGACAATTCGCGCTACCCAGCGCCTTACTCGCCCGCCGTATCTTCCCCGCTGCCGAGCTCCCATCACCACCGTCTCCATACATGGATGCTGTCGCGTGCGCGAGGAAGGCCTGTATGGACATTGCCAAACCTCCTCGCGCATGTGTGCGGTACAGATGAGGAGAACAAATCGGGGCAAAGTGAGTGTAATAGGGTGCGATATAACTGACTCCCATGACATCCTCTCTTGATGGTGGAGGAAGAACAAGTAGCGAGGTTTCCGAATCGAGAACGCGCGCGCGTCGCGCACGCGCCTGTCACGCCGCGCCGCGCGTACGGACCTCACCTCTCGCCACCATGGCCTCTCCGCCGCACAGGCGACTCTCCTCCTCAGGAGCCCCATCCCACTCTATGCTCGGCTCCACCTCACGCTCCATGCATCAATCACGACCGTTCTTGAACCTGATCAACCCCATGGGCCACGGCCACAACTATGCGGGGTACACCGCCGCCAACCAGTCGGTACTTGAAGAAGAGGCGGAGGAGGAAGAGGAAGACGACGAGATGCCGCCGGGGAGCGTGCGGCTGGAGCGCTCGCGCCATGAGCGCGATGTTGAGGCGCAGCAGGCGCCTAAAGCGCTGAGTGCGAGCGTGTTCCGGCCGAATGTGCTGAAGGACGACCGGCTACACGACACGGACGACGGGGATAGCGACGGAGAAGTCCCGCAGAGCTTTATGATTGAATCACCTGCCCTTCGCCACAAGTCGATAAAGAGCAAAGGAAAGGCTCGCGCGCGTCCACCGCCTCCTCCTCCTGTGGCACCTCGCGTTTCAGTCCCTCCTCGGCCGTCCGAGCTCGAACCGGAATATACGCCTCATGACTTGCCGGATCCGGTCACTGCACCTCAACGTTTGCCTGGGCTAGACGCGAAGGAGCAGGCGCTGTGGCAATGGGTCAATGTGTACAACCTAGACGCGTTTCTGCAAGAGGTCTATCTATACTACGAGGGGAAGGGCATGTACTCTATAGCACTCGCACGCGGGCTCAACCTCCTGTGGGTATATATCATCGATCAATCAATACTATACTTACGCTTTGCGGTAGGACCATTGGATTCGTGATTGGATTCTCGACGTTCCTCTTGAGATGTGTAGACTATGCACGCATCCGCCCGGAGGAGATCACTCGACTGGGAGATGTTGTAGTGCCACGATGTGTTGCAAGGCCAGATCTAGCCCAAAAAGACGAAACGCATACCACAAACTGACCACCACTATAGATTCTCCGGATTTACTCTACTATTCTTCGCCCTATTCTGCGCTTTCTACGCCTGGCAAGTCGTATCCTTCGTCCTAGCGACGAAGCGCCTTCTCGACATCTACAACTTCTACACTCACCTACTCGGCATTCCGGATGAAGACATCCAAACCATTGCCTGGCCGGAGGTCGTACGCCGAATAGCCGCCATCCGCGACTCGAACCCGGTAACAGCGCTATCCTCGGGTGTGGAGGCCCACGTCGGAGCGAAGCTGGACGCGCACGATATCGCCAATCGGATCATGCGGCAAGAGAACTATCTCATTGCTCTATTCAACAAGGAGCTACTCGATCTTCGCGTACCGCTACCTGGTTCTCTCTCTCGACTCGGTATCGGTGAAGAGGGCAAAGGACGTACCTTGACTCGCGCTTTGGAATGGAACCTTCGGTTTTGTTTGCTGTGGTACCTGTTCGACTCGCGCGGACGAGTGCGCAAGGTCTTCTTGAAGAGTCGCAATCGTGCCGCTCTCATCGAAGGGTGAGGACCGTGTCTTTCTCACGCGAACTATCCGCTCATCCTGCGTTTAGCCTGAGGCGCCGGTTCGTCTTCATGGGCATCCTGAACGCGATCTTCGCTCCTTTCATTGTGCTATACCTCATCATGTACTCTTTCTTCCGGTACTTCGACGTATGTTATCTTCGCTATTCAGTAGTGGTCCTCGCTGATGCTATGACGTCATAGGAATACCACAAGAATCCGTCCAACATCGGCGGGCGAGCGTATACGCCCTTCGCCCAGTGGAAGTTTCGCGAGTTCAACGAGCTCCCACACTTGTTCAAACGCCGTCTCGACGAATCGTACCCCATCGCCACCGCCTACATCGCTCAATTCCCAAACGAGAAGGTTGCCATCGTCATGCGGTATGTCCTCCGTCCACATTCCCACGGATCCCATCTAACACCCCTCCCAGCTTCGTAGCATTCATAGCCGGCTCCTTCGCCGCCGTCCTCCTCCTCGCCTCCGTCCTCGACCCCGACCTCTTCCTCCACTTCGAAATAACCCCCCACCGCACCGTCCTCTTCTACCTCACCGCCTTCGGCGGCATCCTCGCCGTCGCGCGCGGCATGATCCCCGAAGACAACCGCGTGTACGACGCCTCCCAACTGATGGTCGAGCTCGTCAACTACACGCACTACCTCCCCGCGCAATGGAAGTCCAAATACGGGCTGCACTCCAAAGCCGTCCACGCCGAGTTCGGACAGCTCTTCCAGATGAAAGTCCTCACGTTCGTCACGGAGCTGGCGTCCGTGATCCTCACGCCGTTCATCCTGTGGCACTCCCTCCCGCCCTGCGCGCCCGCGCTCGTCGACTTCTTCCGGGAGTTCACCGTGCACGTCGACGGGCTCGGCTTCGTGTGCTCGTTCGCGGTGTTCGACTTTGAGCGGCACGGGAACGTCAGGTTCGGCGCGCCGGGCGGGGGCGCGCGGGATAAGAGGCATGTGAGCAAGGATGGGAAGATGGAGCAGAGCTTTATTGGGTTTACGCGGGCGCATCCGGAGTGGGTCCCCAACGACCGCGGCGGGCTCGGGTCGGTGTATCTCGAGCGCTTGCAGGATCGCGATCGGGAGAAGGATAGGCGCAGGAGCTCGAAGTTGGCGCCGCACGCTGGAACGCCGCCGGCGACGTCCCCTGCGAGGACCGCGCAGACTTTGCAGCCGGAGGATCGTGCGCAGGAGTACGAGCATGCGCTTATGCAGAGTCAGGCGTTGGCTAGGAGACGCGGCGGTGGACTGGGCGCTTCGAGCGTGTTCATGGGTCCCCCGCGCGATATGGCCGCGAGCGGGATGTACACCAGCGCGATGGCGCAAACGGCCGTGCTCGGCGATTCCGGTACACTGCCCGAAGTGAACTCGCCGTCTACGGCCACTGCATCGCCCCGTCGGGGCGCACCGGCGGAGCTTGCGGTGGACGAGCTCGAGGGCGAGGGGAGCTATGTGGATGGTGCGCAGAGGAAGAGCGTGTCGCAGGATATCGATGATGCTGAGGAGGAAGAGTTGAGGGATGGGGGTGTTATCGGGTTATTGGCGCAGATCTATAGTGGGCCGGCTAAGGGGCGGGGGACGAGCGGGCCTGGAAGGGGGCTGTGAGCGAGGATACTGTTACTTGTCACACGGACGGACATTGTAGTTCATCTTGCTTTTCATATATGTCATGTCAATACATTTACGCGGATATGCTCTTGGAGGAGAACACCAGCGCTGAGGCGAACCGAACAGGTACGGCACGGCTGCTATCGCGTGACATAACGCGTCGGTCACTAAGTATTCTCGGCCGTTTCGAGACTGCGGTTGTGTTTTCCCTTTCTGAATCCCGGTCCGCCACGGGGGATGAGAATATCAATGGCGTTCTCAAGGGCAACGTGCTTTGTCAGCTGCTCTATCAGGCTCTATCCCTCACATAGTCGTCTATTCTTGGTATGCAATGAACGCGAGCCTCCGATGTGGTGCGGAAACGGTCAGTATATAATGGCTCCGGAGCCCGACGCGGTCCAAGTGCACACGACACCGCACCTAGCACCTCCAAATGTCGAGTCTTTCCTATGAATACGTCTGGTGGCCTGCCTCAGAGGCTTATCTGAAGGACCAACGCATCGCCGACGGTGTATTCGCGATGCTCAAGACGAAGACGCCGCATGCGTGCGTACTTGATCATGAGTGCTTGTATACCAACTCCGCATGCATTCTGACACCCCATTGCAGCATCTACGGCGGCATCGGCCTCGAGAAGCCCTATGCGCGATGCATCATTGCGTGGGACAATACCGAGGCACACAACGACTTCATCAGGTCCTCTGATTACCCCGTCCTCGGCGGGCGCCTCGTCCCTTCTTTCGCGGACCCCTCAAACCCTGGGATGGGCATGTTCCATGCGCACTACGACTCGGACCCTTCTGCGCTCTTTGATGCACCGTTCACAGAGTTCGTCATCGCTACGGTGAAGACGGGCGTCAGCGTTGAAGAGGCACGCGTTGTCGTAGAGGGTATGGCGAAGAGCGTTGCTGGTGAGGATGGCGTTGTCGGTGTTAGTGTCGGGAGGGTTGAGGAGGCGCCTGAGCGGTTCGTTGTTCTTGTGGGTCGTCAGAGCCATCAGGTGCGTGTGCGAGGCTGTCCCGGGCGTTGCGAGACTCATTTTGGATATGGCAGGCTGGCAGCAGCCAGGAGTACCAAGCTTTGACTAAGGGTACCGTCGAGGTCGAGTTCGAATGGGCTACATTCGCCAAGAAGCAATGATAGATGAAACCTAGATCCGCGTGCACGGGATATACATATACGGTACCTGGTCCGAGTATGTAAAGTACATGACTACAAGCAAAGCGATGGTATTGGTACATGCAAGCGATATACATGTCAAAACAGGGTAACGAGAATTCCTCCAGGCTGGTAAACTCATATAAATACATACTAGGAGTTAAATTGCGAGTGTGGGTAGTGGACGTGAATGTAGCGGTGAATCTACTGGGTCCGGTCAGACTCGGATATAGTAGAGGGGTAACGGGCGTCATTAGGTTTCTAGCGAATGGGGCCCGGGGTTCTCTGAATCTTGATTGCGAACCCATCGATCTTCATCTCGCCATCAAGTTGTAAGGCCTCCTCCAATGCTTCTGGCGAAGCGAATGTGACGAACCCGAACCCGCGTGATTTGTGCGACACACGATCCCTGTGTATGTAGACGACTTTGATTTGACCGAAGCGTTTGAACTGCTTCCTGAGTTGCGCGCCGTCCACGTTGCGGGTTAGCCCGCTGACCCAGACTGTGGTCGGGTCATGCTCTCCCGAATGAACCCGGCTTGGTTCAAGAGCTGGCAAGAACGCGGGAGCTCGGCGAATGCGGATGGGGCGTCCGGCAATGGTGAGACATTTGTCGAGCCCTAACACCTCGTCTACGACTTGGGCGGAGGTGAATCGAACATAGGCGTATCCGAGAGAGTTGCCTGTACCAAAGCTGCCGCCCGTGGAAAGGTCTCTCTGAACGCGCACAAAGTCAATCGTCCCGAATCGCTCGAGTTCTGCTTTGAGCGAGTCATCGCGCACTTGCGGAGGAAGACCTTCGACAACTATCGCATCGCGGATAGGCTCTCTCTTCGCGGCATGATAGATGCTGCTCTTCTGCGCTGACGTGGAGTAACTGATCGAGATAGTTTCCCCATCAATGCTCGTTCTGTCAAGGGCTCGGAAAGCCCTGCTTGCTGATTTCGGCGACGAGAAGCGAATAAATACAAGGGTGCGGCGTTGTCCTTTATGCGGTGACGTCTTGCGAACGCGAACATCGATGACCTCGCCGTACTGCTCGAATAAGGACCTCAGATGAGTTTTGTCGACACCCCACGCAAGGCCCTGAACCGTAAGCGTGCTCCTATCGACAACGATCGCGCGAATGTGAACCGTCTGCCGTCTGAGGATCGACAGGTCGAGCTGAAGCGCCCTCTCCACAGCTCGGACGTCTCCAAAATTCACGTAGCCGTAACCCAGCAGTTCGCCTTCGGTAAAACGCCACTCAATGTTGACGCGTACGATCTTTCCGCAAGTCGCAAATGCAGTCCTGAGGGAGCTTTCACCGAAGCCCGGGAATAGCGGTCCGACTACGATGGTGGACGTGCGCTGCATGTGTTCCGAGTTGGGATCAAAGTCAGCGGCCTGCGTCGAAAGATCGGCGCGGCGCAACTGTCGGAACGAGAACGCGCTAAGTCCCAGTACTTCCTTTCTCGCCGCAGGTGGTACAGCTAATGATGGTAGCGTTCCGACGTAGTGCGGTCGTGGAGGACGTCCGATAACGTTCGCGGCCGCAATGAACCTCGCCCGGCAAGGGTTGCTGAGAGATGATGGAGACACGCCTCTGAGTGAAGATCGGCAGAACATGGTACAAAGAAAAGTGGGACGAGAGAGCGCTGCACTCCACAGCGCTTTCCTTAGCAGCGAAAGGTTATGCGGGGGTCCGCGTCGGGGCGGGTGGGGGTCTGGGTTTAAGACGCGAGCGTGGGTACACCTTGGTACATATCCGCGCTCGGTCGCGTCCGTCCTTGTCCTTCGCACCTCCCGCCACCACTGCCACCAAGACTTCATCCCGTCAAGAACTGTACTGTCCCTCCGACTTTCTTAATACGGTACGACCCGCGCATGCCCTCATCCCCTCGTCATGGAATTCTCATCGAACGCTATAGTCTATGGCCCGCACAACTCTCCGCATCCAAGACCTTAGGATGTGAGAAAGATATCGATGCCTCTCGTCTTCACGCTCGAAATGTGATCCCACGCACGAGCCGCGCTTTCCCCGCTGGCAACGTCCTGAAGGACCCGAGCGGGCACGAAGGCTACCGCATACATATGATAGAGACGTCGGGGTGGCCGAGAAAGGTGAGCTCCTATGCGATGGATACTGCGGGTACTGTACTGAAGGTACAGCGTAGGTTTATTGCACTCGACCACGGCGATAACTGGCACTGTCCCTCGCGCTAACTGGATGATTCCCGCGAGCCGTCTCACCCTCCTCTTACGCATTACGCATCAACCCGCCCAAACGCTCACCATCGGGCTCGTGAGCACGCCATCTGCGAGAGCCAGAGACGGAGCAAGCCCACGCATCCCGGAGCGGAGATGGCGGCCCATCCGTAATTGCGGATATCCCCTCCGAAGGTTCTCTTCACACCCACGTACGAGTACTGCTACACTCGACCTTCCAACTAGGACCCCCTTCAAGAAAAGCCTGCTTCCATCGGCAGCCCACGGGGGTACCGTATTGTCTGTCTTACCAACGTCAAGTTCAGACCGGGTCGGCTTGCAACGGATGTCCTGTATGTTGTATGACTGTATCTGAGGCCGCGTGTACCACTACGATAACAACAATTCTACGCACACCATACACCACTGCTGTCGCTTGTATGCCTACCCCTGAAAGACGTTGAACTCCTCGCTCACTATGACCACCCCTGGGACTGCCTTTAACCGCCGAATGGACTCCAATACGACATCCTCCCGGAGTTTCCTGCAGCGCGTTCCGCTAATCCTTCCCTTCCTGATTAACGCCTCCTCTTCCGCGATATGCAGGTAGATTGTCTGCACAGGTATGCCTTTCTTACGTCGTGCATCCAGGGCTGAGGTGAGAACAAGAGTTCGAGTTGGCAAGACGCGCGGGCCCTCCAGGGTCAAGCAGGTGATAGCCGTAAGGAGATCAAAGTCGTGCCCGCGTAGATCCAGAACGCGTAGGGCGGGCAGCACGTTTGTATCTTCCAGCAAGCGTATCACGTGCGTTAGCCTCTGATTGCGGTGCATGTCAATGCTCAGGCATTGAACGCTGGGAAAGAAGGATGCCGAAGAGGAGGTATGCGGAGGGACGGCTCTCGCTCCGAAGCCCCGTGGATTGACCAGGAATCCACCGAATGGATTCTCTTTGGCTGTCCCTTTCGATTCGGACGCGTATATGTCCGCAAAGTCCATAACCAAAGTACGGACATCATCGATCGGCAACATGGATAGCGTATTGAAGCGCTCATATCCATGAATGAGGGATATTGTCAGATCGTTACTGCCGGTCCACCCACGATGACCCCCTTCTTCGTTTAGATGCTTTTTGATCTTAACAAGATCTGCAGGGAGAGATGGCTGGGTGGTGCGATCAAGCCCCAGGGTAACAGTCTCTTTGCGAAAGAGAAGGTATCCAGACCGGAAGTTAGGTGCTTCAAGACGACGATGATCTAACAACTGCATGAAAGCATCGCCCAGGGCCTCATGCACGAGCTGCTGTTCGCTAGGAGCGGTATCTAAAAGGCTCACGCGAGCCCTGGGTGATACCCGTATATGGTGCAGCAGGTGTGCGTGCACCTCGGTACGAGCAATCACCGTAAGAAAACGCAGGCTTTCCAGATGGATCACGTTTTCAGGCCTCGCGGGGTGGCAATGCTCGCAATACAGCTCGTTGGGATCGGTTACATTATTTCCCCGAAGCGTCAGCTGTGAGAGGCTGGTCATCTGACGCATTGCCTTCAAGAAGATAGAGTCGGGGAAAGGAGGCGCTTGGAAACGAGCGCCCACGCGTCCGAAATGAATACTCAGAGAGGTCAGGTGCGTGAGAAATGGGTAGTCCCATGTAAGATACGAAAACGAGGAGTGAGGGAGGCTCAAGGAGAGATGGTATAACTGAGGACAGCAGTTCTTCAGAAATGGGTCGATAGGACGGCATTGCTCCTCGGACACGAGTCCATAGAACGAGTGGACCACGTCAAGCTCTTGAAGCTTTGCGAAAGAAAATGCGAGCTCGTCGAAGATCGAAAGGCTATCTTCTTCGTCGATAGTTGCGCCCATACGAAGGGATACAACGCGGTCACGGTGCATAGTCAGAGCGTCGCGTAGGATGCGCTTTCGAAGTCCCGATGGTTGACGATCGGCAAAGGACAACAAGGTATCCTTGCTACGATTCAGGAATTCAGTGGTCCAACGAAGCCCGAGCCGACCGTCTATCTCTGTCCAAAGTGTAGCTTCATCGATTGCCACGCATCTCCAGCGCCTGTCCACGAAGGACACGTGTATCCAGCCCAATTTAAAACGGAACTTGGGGGCACGCCGGCCGAGTGTGTGATCCATCGCAGATGCATGTGGATCAATAACCTGAGCCCAGGCGAAGACGTGTGATAGGGTCTCATCAGGCAGCATACGAGTGAAGTCCATGATCGACGCCAGCTGTCTGTACAAGACGGTGGTAGTGGTTGGCAGTCAAGCCACGTCTGGGTGATCCCGGCGATTCTCTTGAACACGTTTTGCATCACGTATTTGAGAAGCACGTGGGACTGTTTCCCACAGGCATATGATTTGCATACAAGGCGGACAGCTCACTTCGTGCATCTCAAGCATACAAGACTTAGGTATACATGGTAGGTTAGAAGTCGCCACACCCCGCACTACCGGTCATCACGAACTCCGACACTACATTCCGAAGACATCAAAGTCCTTGCCAACGATCTCCACCCCCTGCACCTTTCGCAACTGCCGCACGGACTCGAGTACGAGCTCTGGTTCGTAGTTCGGGCAACTCGTCTCTCCGATCCTTCCATCTTCCACAAGCACTACCTCATCGGCTACATGCAGGTAGATCGCCTCCAGAGGTTTGCCCGATGCACGTCTTGCCTCCAGAACGTTTTCGAGCGCGGGAAAGCGCTTAGCTGCAAGTCCCCGGTGCGGTCCATCGGGGGCAAAGCAGGTGAGGATAGCGGAGAGGGTGTACTCCTGCGCGCCTAGCGCCACGAAACGTAGCTTCGGGAGAAGTGTAGCGTCCATCAGGAGCTTCAGGCCGTGAAGTGGGACCCCGCTGGGTCCCGACGTTCGGAAGCACAAGCGCTCCACGCCCGTGAATTTGTGCAGCAATGAGTGTGTTGATCTGGCGGCGAGTCCTGCGTCGTGCAGGATCAGAGCACGGACTAAGTCGGTGTTCTGTGGGGCTATGATACCGGCCAAGGTAGCAGCGTCCATCCATTGCAAGATGATGTCGTTCCCGCTGAGTGGTGCATGCTTGCTCCTGCGCATTGACAACTCGGCAAATGGAGAGCTGGGTCGAAGGCCGCGGCTCAAGCTCAAGCTTGCAGGTGCTTCTCCATAGGATGGATCGTCGAAGGAGATATGCGCCGAGAGGATTGAAGTCGTATGTAACTGGGATGCGCACAAGCCGTACAATGCTTGAGTGAACGCCTCAGATGTGCCCGGCTCAAGAGATGTGGATGAACTGGTGGGACGCCGAACGAGCGCTATGCGAGCATGCGGAGGTATCTGGAAGTGGCGCAATAGATGTATGAGAAGTTCGATAGAGCCTTCCATGATGACGGAATGTGTTTGCTTGAGATGTATGATATCCTCCGGTGAACCAGAACAGCGATGGTCGCATGAGATTGGAGTGGGAGTATGAAGAGAGAGACCCCTCGTCGACTCCGTGAGTGTTAATCGAGTGAGAGCGTTCATCTGGCTCAGGGCATCCAGGATTTTGGGGGCGAATAACGTCGACACCATGCCGTACAGGTTCAGCGACACCAGCTGCGTGAAGCAGGGGATTGTCCAAGCTATATCTCCCAAAAGTACGTCAGGAAGAGCCAAGGATAAGCGAACAAGACGAGGTGCTTTTTCAAGCAAAGAGTTGCAGCGGCCAATTAGGGCGACGGTAGAGGGGGAACGGGTATCTGACACTGAGAGGTTGAGCTCTTCCAGGCGCTCGTACTCGGATGAAATAAGTCGGTCGACGGTCGGGAGACCGTCCCTTAGCGTTGCATTCAGGTGCAAGGATTTGATCCGCTTGCGTTGCGTGGCTATCAACTTGCGAAAGGATTCTTTCGACGGTCCGTCTATGTTGGGTCGGAAGTCGTCATCGATGGCAAGAGGCGCATCTTTGCTGCGGCGTAAGAACTCCTTGTACCAGGCAGGTCCGAGTTGGCCGTCCAGCTGCGTCCAGAAGGTGGAGTTATCGATCGCCACTCGTCGCCAGCGCCGATTAACGAAAGTAATCTTTATCCACCCTAGTAGTCTGGTCTCTGCAACCGAGCGCGACCTGGGAGAACGATCGCGAGAGAACGGTTCAATCAGACGAACACAAGAAAAGATGTGGGAGAGCGTCTCGTCGGGTATCGTGGCGGTGAAATCCATGGACGACTGATTATGCGCGCGATGATCGATGATGGCGGTCAAGAGACAAGGCCGCGGCGTCCTCGTATCTTCCTGTCACCATCTACCACCTCCAACCACCAAGCCTATACGATGGGTCTATCCTTGCTGCCAGTTCTGGCATCACATACTGAGATACAGTAGTCTTGACTTCGACTTCCCTTCCATATAATAGGCCGCCTAGTGAAACGTATGGCATCAGTTCTTGAGCAGCTTCATTTAGGGTATTTCGGATCTTCGGCGCTTCATCTCCGGTGCGCCTCGTGTGATCGCGGATCCCCGCCTCCCGCCCCCGACTGCCCGCCCTCGCTGTCAGCCACAGCGAGCACAAAAGTAGACATACAGTACCGCAGAATAGCCATAGTGTATATATATTTGAAGAGCGCCGAACGCGCCGTTCCAGATGACGTCACGCTGGTAAGCACCTGTTCGCGGGAAGCCTCTGGGAATATTTTCGAATTTTTCGCAAAGTCGAGATGCCCGGTGCTACCTCTTGTAGGGCTCCAAGCTTCAAGAGCCGTCTGATTGACAAGTACTTTCAAAGCTGTGGGCGAGAACGAGAGAGGCCAGCGCCAGCAACGCGCGGTGCGCGCCAACCGTGGGAAATACGCCGACGACGCGCCCGCGCCCGCGCGGCATGGCAAGTACTTTTGTTGTTTCTCTCCAGCTTCTGCAAGATCACTTTGCGAGTACGCACGCGCGTTGCCCGAAGAAGCGACTGAAGACTGCATGCTGAATGTAACCTGAGGCGCCCATTAGAAAGTGCTGTGCATGCTCGAAAGAGTAGAATCGTGTCCAAAGGCAGTCTTTGACTTGCTTACTCGCATCCTTAGCCAACTGGCTCGTCGGATTCAGGCGCGCACCCGTTCGGTAGAAGTCGGCAGGTACGTCAAGTAGCTACAAAGAGCTACATGTGTATGAGACTTTCTCTGTGAATCAAATATTGGAGAGAGTGTATGGAGGTGGATTCGGGAATTAGTTCGCTATTGGGAGGGTCGAGTGAGTGTATATCACGCCGCCGCCGCGGTGTATCGACATCAGCCTAGTCCAAGGGCAGCGAACAATCTAATCCTGTCGATAAACTAGTGCTTGACCGGAGTATCGCATCACAAAGGTGGATTATCCTCGGTCCATTGCAGTCGGCCTGTTGATCATCTCTTCTCCGAGTCGCATCTGCGGAAGGACGAAACCTACCGAGCACTTTACGATCCCGCAGATATAGGTCTACCAGAGCAACCTTCATAGCGATGACAGCACGATTGGATCGCATCAAGGCGCTGGCATGGCGAGGAATCTACGTGCCAATTCAACAGTCCAGCTGCAGGCCATGACAAGAGACCGAAGAGCTTCGACGTGCAGCCTGGCATGAAAGGCAATCCACCGAGCGAGTCAAAGAAAGGTGAGCTGGTGTGTGGATCGGTTCGCGAATATTCCCCGAACGTTAACATAACAGATAGTCTTTGAATTCGGATAGTACACCGAGAAAGACCGCTGTTGGTCACCTGCAGACTCGGGCCCTTTGCATCTGTAATCCATGCCTCACGCGACAACCCGTAGCCAGCATAGCTCGCGCGATGTGTCCAATAATCATAACCATATCCAGTTCCCTCTCGAGGGCACCCTTTCAGATGCACGGTCAGATGCCTGTTGAACTGAACTAAATGATAAGCCAGTGGTATATAGCCATGATCGTCGCATTGAGAACAGTGCGACGGACTCGGAGTGGAATATCACCTTGTTATTCGTGGGCAGATATGCATGGTCCCTGGTGGCGGAAATACCGGCAGCCCACATGGGGCTTACGGGACATTGGCTACTATCAGTACATGGGACATTCAAGTCTCGAACTACGTCTGTCTGTCGAAGCAAAGGACACTACAAGATAATGTCTGGTCCACAAACCTTGCGGAGTATTGAGCTGGCAATGCATCACTGTCTATTGGAAGGAAATGGACAGATTCGACGATGGTGGAAGACCCGACGAAAGTGCCATGCCGCGCGGGCGCGGGCGCGTCGTCGGCGTATTTCCCACGGTTGGCGCGCACCGCGCGTTGCTGGCGCTGGCCTCTCTCGTTCTCGCCCACAGCTTTGGAAGTACTTGTCAATCAGACGGCTCTTGAAGCTTGGAGCCCTACAAGAGGTAGCACCGGGCATCTCGACTTT